AGCCATGTAGGAGTAAGAATGCATAGGATCTGATTATTGATCAGATGTGCAGGAGTTAAGAGGAAGGTGTCAAGGAGGATTTCCAGGTTTCTGGCATGCACAACATGCTGGGTGTTGGTACCATTTACCAAGCTGGGGATCAGTGGAGGAAGAGCGGTTGTGGGATGCCGGGAGGTGGAAATAATGAATCAGTTTTGAACTTGCTGAGTTTGAAATACATATGAATTGGGGAGCCTGGGTGGCTCAGTCGGTTAAGCCACCGACTTCCGCTCAGGTCACGATCTCACAGTCTGTTAGTTCCAGCCCCACCTAGGGCTCTGTGCTGACAGCTCAGGGCCTGGAGCCTGCTTCAGGTTCTATGTCTCCCTCTGTCTCTGCCCTTTCCCCGCTCATGCTCTGTCTCAAAAATAAATAAACATTAAAAACAATTTTTTTAAATGAAATACATATGAATTATCTGAGTGAAGGTACAACTAGTAGATCTGCAGATGTAGAGCTCGGAATTCAGTTAAAAATTTTTTTTAATGTTTATTTTTTTATTTTGAGAGATAGATGCGAGCAGGGGAGAGGCAGAGATAAGAGAGAATCCCAAGCAGTCTCTGCAGTCATCGCAGAGCCCTTGCGATCTGACCTGAGATCATGACCTGAGCAGAAATCAACAGTGACACGCTTAACTGACTGAGCCACCCAGGCGCCCCTGGAATACAGTTGTAAAAGCTGGAGATAACAAATTTGGGCAGTCTTTAAAGAAAGTTACTCGTATCTTTCCCGGGTCCAATACTTCTTCAAACCTTCAAAAACGCCTAATATAATCCCTCGTTCTCAAAATGCATACACAAGAAGGAGGCGCGGGCAGCGCAGGTCCTAACGTTGAGCTGGGGTATTCCAGGTAGTGTCGGGCAGTTGTCCCCCGGCTGAGACCACCGAGTTCGCAGCTGCCACCGCGGGCCCTGGCAGGACCAGCTCCTTCCAAAGGCTGTGGAGCCATGGAGGCTACCGAAACCCGAGGGGAAACACAAGCGGCGATGGCGAGCAGAGGTACTCACCATGTCTGCGACGTGGCGAAGACAAGGACTCTGACGTCTGCCCTAGGGCTCAGCTCGCTGGCCCGGAACTGGTGTTTCCAGGGTCGGGGCCTCGGAAGGCTGACTACAATTCCCAACATGCCTCGCAGCAACGTCATGGGGGCGTATCCCATTACATCTCCTCGCGGGGGATAATGGGGCGGGGTCAGCAGCTTTTCCTCAGTAAATTCTATTGGTTGAGTCATCCGTATTCTATAGACACCCTTAAGTCACTGTGTTCCTCGCGGAGGTTTCGAACTCTCCAGGTATCCTTCCGTAGCGTCCCTTGAAACGAGTCCTCCCGTACCCGAGGCAACGCGCCACAATAAACACCTGCGGCCACCGTCTGCACCCGCGTCGCGGGGAGCGTGCCGAGGCGCTTCGCAGCGAGGCCTCGCGCGGGAAGCGCTTGCGCGGGGAGGCTCGTGGCCCCCGCCGCTCCTGCCGCTGAGTCAACCCGGACGGGAGCTCAGACGCCCTGGTCCCGGTTGTCGGACCGGTGCTTTGCTGAGAGGTGACTTGGTCCTGTGGGCCGCCGGGTGTTGTGCTTTAGGTATCTACCTCCTTTGAGCCTGTTTCCCTACTGGGAAATCACTTTCCTGTCGCCTCAGCCAGAGGTTTTCCGCCCCTCCTTCACCGCCCCTCCCCCCGCTCCGGAGAGACCTTGCCAGGTTCCACTTGTATTAGACTTCACCGTGTACTTGTCTGCTCAGATTGTAAGCTCCCAGGGGTCAGGATCCACGCCTTTTAAAATGTTTTCTTAGCTTCTATCAGCGAGCTTTACCCAGAGGAGGCGTCTGCAAAGTGTCTGTTAAGTGAATGAACGATTTTGTAAATGTTGCCCAAGAAGAGTTTAGAGGAAAAATAGAAGGCGAGAGCTTTTTTTCCCCTTTCCTTTCCTCCCTTCCGTGGCTCACTTTGTTGTGTGGCAGACGCTGCGCAGACGGTGGAAATACTGTGGTAAGGGAGAACCAAGCTGCCCGCGGTGCCTGCCTTCCTGTAGGCAACAGTTTCGTGGGGGAAAAGGCAGCTGCTAATTACAGGATCGGTACACGGTGAACGGAACGTGATAACCCGTTAGACAGGCTGCTATGGCAGAGGGAGTTAAAGAAGGGATGAATGAGCTACACAATCTGAAAGATCAGTGTTAATTGGGGGAAATAAGGGGGGGGCACAGTGAAGCACTTGCATGAAGGGAAACAGCACGTGCCATGGTCCTGTGGCTGGAGAGAGCCTTACCTGAGAACTGGAAGAAGACAAATGGAGCCCAGGTGCCAGGGAATGGGGTTCCTATGGTGTCAGATGTGGGTGATAGTGGACTTTGGGGGGCCACGTAAAGGATCTGAGTCCCTGTAACAGCACAGGAAGCCCTTGTGGTTGGGCAGTGGGATGGAGCTTTGAAACAGGCTGCAAATGGAAGTAGTATATCCCAGCCGACTGACGTTTACTTTTTATTTATTTACTTTTTTAATATTTATTTTTAAGAGAGAGAGAGGGAGAGGCAGAGAGAAAGGGAAACGCAGAAACTGATGCAGGCTCCAGGCTTTGAGCTGTCAGCACAGAGCCTGACTCCGGGCTCTAACCCACCAACCATGAGATCATGACCTGAGCTGAAGTCAGGTGCTTAACTGACTGAGCCACGCAGGCGCCCCCGCCTCTCCCCCCCCCCACCCCCATTTACTTTAAAAATATACCTGATGAGAGGAAGAAGTGGAATGGGGGGTGGGGTGGGGAAGGAAGCATATCTTCTTATGCTGTAGTTTTTTGTTTTTTTAAGTTTATTTATTTTGAGAGTGTGCATGGGGGAGGGGCGAGAGAGGGAGAGAGAGAATCCCAAGCAGATTCCTGGCTATTAGGATGGAGCCAGATTGAACTCATAAACTGTGAGAGCATGACCTGAGCCGAAATCAAGAGTCCCATGCCCAACCCACTGGCCCGCCCAAGCACCCCCTAAAGCTTTAGTTTAAATGGAATCTTTGCTTGCCCCTTGATATTACATGTTAGTAAAGATTCATGCTCAGAGGAGCGACAGTTCCAAATTGGCACACCTGTTTAGTGTCACTGAAATTCAAGGCAAAAGGTAATTACCTTGAATTATAAACGGGGAAGCATAAGCCAATGCTTGTTTTATTCACTAAATGTGTGCCCAGTACCTAGATCTGCTTGGTACTTAAAAAATCCTCTGATGAAATGGAGGCAAATCTTCCTTAGCTCTTTCTTTCTAAACATGTGTAATTAAAAAACAGAATCTAAACATTTGTTTAATGTGTTATTTCAAAAGAAAGGGGTGCTTAGGTGGCTTATTCGGTTAAGCGTCTGACCGGCTCAGGTCATGATCTCATGGCTCATGAGTTCTGCTGTTAGTGCAGAGCCTGCTTCGTATCCATTTTCTCCCTCTCTCTCTCTGCCCCTCCCACACTTGTGCTCTTTCTCTCTCTCAAAAATAAACACTA